GGCTCAGAGGCACTTGTTGATGAGACTCAGGATGGGATCATTTGTGACTTCTGAGGACGCCGAGGCTACCATTGCTGTTGGTGACACCCTGGTTCACTCCCTTCTAGACCACAACAGAGATCCAAAGTATAGGAGATTGAAAAGATCCTCAAGAATGGCTTCGTCATGGTCCCTGTCCGGCCTGCTTTCCTTTAGTTCTCCACCATCCTCTTTACTGTCCTTAACCTTGTTGTCTACGATAGGGGGAGTAGCAGAGACTTGATGACGTTAGACGACAAGGTTGAGCTTCATTCTCTGCCTCATCTCTTCTTGTTTCTTCATTAGCTCAAACACCTATACAAACTAAAATGCCCTTCAATCCCTCCCTAAGCAAAAACCAAAAGAATCAAACCTTTGAACCAAACAAAACAAATCCACAGTTTGAACCTTTTTGCCCCATGAAGAGCTGTTAATCTCTCGTGCCACCTTCACTCCTTGCTCAAGCGCTTCTGGGTCGAAACCAGCTGCCATTGTCCACGGATTATCATTCCGAACCCACTGAGTTTCCTCTTTTGCAGCTGACCCGGGTGGAGGAACTTCGTGAGAAACTTGAGGAGTCGACGAAGGATAAGAAAACGGATCGGAATAACAATCCTCTACTGCTAAGGAGGCCGATGCTAGAGCAGAAGAAGACCTGCAGCATAGGCTCTTGTTATTGTTTTTTTAGACCTTAGATTGAGGGGTTGACAAAGCTTTTCGAACTCATCGATGACAGCAGTAACAATGGGCTTGGAGTGGAGAACCTCCTCTTGCTCCTTGTTGATGGGCTTTCCCTAATAAATGCCACGTAGAGGACGAAGGAGGAAAGAGATTACAATTCTTCAAGTTTTTCATCAGTTGGGTTTTATTTTGAAAATTTGAGGAACAGTGGAGGGAAAATTTGACATTTCATTTTTTTTTTCCTGTTAGCACTTAACAATGATGTCAATTGTCAGAAACAGTAGGGGTACTTTAAGACAATATGTAAACAGTAAGGGTAGAGCCAGTCAATTAGCTAAACCATAAGGGTAGTTTAAGAAATTTGCCTTTTTTATTTTATTTTATTTGTGCATGTTCACTTTGAAATTTGAATATGTTATATATATTATGTTTATGTATTTTAACTTGAGCTAATAGGCTTTTTAAACATTTAGTTTAAAATTATTATGTATGCATTTTTAATTTATATTAACATTTCTTGATTTATTTTGATTTTTTTTGCATATTTTGAAAATTTTAATAGTTTTGTGCCTTGCTTCAAAAAGGTTTGCACCTGAACTTGTGCCTTGTGCCTTGGGAAAAGCCATTTGTGCTTTTTTGCACCTTACATTTTTTAAATGCTGCCCCCAATACATATGGTTCTTGGGAATCGCATGGTTTAAGATCCAACGGCTGTTTTTTCTTCCCCATTTTGGTTAACCTGGCCATTACTTTTTAGGGAGTTGAAAGAATTTCTTTATAAGATAATTGCTTGCCCTTTCTTTGACTACCCATCCTCGGTTCGCCACATTGACCCACACATTCCATGTCATATTCCCTTGCTTCTCGACTCCATAAGTAGAGTCTGGTTTACACCAAGGACGACAACTAGGAGGCTTTATACTTTGTACCTTCCACAATCAACTCAATCACTCTAGGGATGTGATTGATCTCTATGCCTCTCACCTTTATCCTTGCCTCCCTTAGGCTGTGTTTTGTTTGAAGGAAAAGGTGGTTTGTATAGGTTTCCCTGTCTTTCCCTTCCTTTCCCTACCTTTTCCTTCAAACCAAACACAGCCTTAGATTAACCAGGTTGATGAATTCATCAGCTTCAATAAACCCACCACATACATTGTCAATAACTCTAAAGATATATTCTCTCCATAGTTGACCTCCCTTTCCTTATTGAATGATACAACCCACACTCCTTTCCAGCTTCTGCTGTTCTCATTCAAAGTTGCAACTGACATTCTCCACTTGGTATTCAATATCACCCTCTACTTTACTTTATGAGCTGACTCAGTTACCTGAGATTGTGCTCTCAAGGATTTAGAGAAGGGGATTTTCTCTTCAACTTCTCTTATAGGAAATCATCATCATCATTTAATCCTTATCTGGCTATCCCAACTATATGGGGTTGGCAACATGAATCTTGTTTCGCCATTCCATTCTGTTTAATGCTATATCCATTGTTAAATAATGAGCATTTAAATCTTTTCTAACAACTTTGACCCATGTCCTTTTTTGTCTACCTAGCCCTTCTAGCCCCTTCTACTTGCAACAGATCACTTCCTCTATGGGTGTTATTAGTGGTCTTCTATGCACGTGACAAAACCATCTTTGTCTACTTCCTTTCATTTTTTCACCTATTGGAGCTACTCGGTTTTTCGAATGACATCATTTCTGACCCTGTCCATTCTAATTTTTCCACTCATCCATCTCAGAATATGCATTTCTCTCGCTCTAGTTGTTTGGACATGTTTCTTGACTGCCCAACAGTTTGCTCCTTACAACATAGCTGACCTTACAGCTATTTCATAAATTTTTCCTTTTAATCTAAGTGGTATTGTCTATCACATAAAACTTTGGATCCACCATTCTATTTTGCCCATTCTGCTCTAATTCTATGGGCAACATCGTCCTCAAACTTTCCCATGTTATGAATTATTGAACCAAGGTGCCGAAAAAGGTCACATTGTGTAATTTCTTGATCTCCAATCCTAAGTGTATCCTCATTTGACTCCTATTATTACTAAAATTACATATCGTATATACCGTTTTAGTCCTACTTATTTTAAAACTGCTTGTTTGTAGTGTATTTGTCCATAAACTTAATTTTGCATTTATCCCCTTATTAGTTTCATTAATTAAAACAATGTCATCAGCAAACATGCACCATAGGACCTCCCCTTGAATATGTTTAGCCTATTCATTTACAAGAAAAATGAGTTCCATATATTCCCATGACATTTTTGCTAGCACGTTCCATCTGGATGCCTTTTTTTCTTCCAGAATACAAACAATTTATCTCCCTCCCTTGCCAAATTTTTCTCCCAGTTGAATGAATTCCACTTCTAGTTGCTCTTCTTCGTGCTACAAAAAATATATTTTTTTTTCTATTACTGCTGCATTCATCCCTCCAATGACTCATTTCTACCAAAAGAGCTCTTTCTACAAATCCCTTCCACCATGTTAGGCATCTACTATCCAGGTATACCACTCCTTTTCCCACCTCTTGAATCTTCAAACCAGTCATCCTTTTTACAGAGATCTGCTCCGGGTGTAGTGTTTTAGCCTCAATCAAAATCTATTTTCTCCACTTAGTCCTAGTCCATCCTTTCTCCATTCTTCCTCAGCTTTCAGCCTTTTTCCCTTTTTAACAGGGTTCATAAAACTTTATACTACCTGCACTCCTTACTTGATGTAAGATTATGCTATGCTTGGAAGTGCTTATGTTAAAATTAAGTGCTTATTAGAATAAGCACTTATTTGCATTTGGCACCCAGCTTTTTCAAGTGCTTATTTTAAAAAATAAGCAGGCGTTTGGTAGTTTTTTCCTCCAATAAGCACTTGTGATTTTTTTTGTCCATTTTCTTTCAAATTTTAAATATATACCATAAATTTATGTCTAATGAAGTTTGGTAATTGAGACATTGTCACCACTGACCCTGGTGATATAAGCTCGTGGTAGTAGGGAGCTCTGCTAGCAATGGAAGTCTTCAAGGTCAAATTAACAATGGAAGAAACAGCCATGGGAGCTCTGCTTGCAGACTCGCAGTTCAAGTTGCCCTAGTTTTCTTCTTTGTATCATTTGTAGCATTACTCCCTAGTCCTGTTTACTCGCAGGAGCTTCTGATCGCCAATGCCGAGCAGAGAGATTTCTCTCTTTTATGAGTACTTCTTTTTCTTAGCAAGTTCAAAGTAATGATATAAAGGAGCCGGTAACTGAGATTTTGATTTGTGGTCTTTGATGGTACTCTGCTTATTGATTAAACTGGAACGCAATTATCCACTCAAGTAATCAGATTGCGTAAGTTTATAGTTCATTGTTGTTTGGATTTTGGAATCTTTCCTTCGTGATGTGTAGACTATGTGCTGGAAGTTTGATGAAGGCAGCAGTTAGTTTCTGACCATTCACAGCTCATGGAAAAATGTAATCAGACCATACCAGCTTGACGACGATGTGGTCGGGTGACATGCCAGTGAAGTTGCTGCAGAAGATGAAGAGGGTGATGGAGAAGAAACAGTCGATGGACTAAACCCTAGGTTTTTTTTACATTTGAATGGCATTAATGGAATTATAAAAACTTATTGGGGACAGTTTTGGTAGAAAAAATGGAACAAGTGCTTATTGTTTAAGCACTTAAAAAAGGTGGGAATTTGGGCTTAAAAATGAGCACTTATTTCGGGCTTATTTCCCAGACACCACCAAGTGCTTAATGGTGTTGTCCCAGCCAGAAATAAGTGCTTATTTGAATAAGCACTCCCAAATGTGGTCTTAATTGTATTATTACTAGTATAGCTTATATATATTTATGTACAAGTATTATTTAGTCTAGCTGATACAAGTGCACATTTTTTGTAAGGAAAAAGTGTTTGACAGTTCAGACATGGACATAATGCATATTTGTTTTTGTGTGCACACTTGGGAGGAGTGGAGGTTGAGGTGATGACTTGAGTAGTTATCTCTTAGACACCTAGACTATGCTATGCATGCCAAACAAACTAAGAAATCATGAAATGGAGGGTGTTTTTTTATTTTTATTTTATTTTTTTTTGGGGGGGGGGGATATACTTGGGGCAATCACATGCTGAAAATGGAAATCGTCCATTGTCAGGTTTCATATTTCTGACATCTTGAGTGTTGGGATCCAAAACATTGGTTCTATTCTTATAGAATATTTAAACCTTCTTAAACATTGCAGGATATCTTTTGTTCCTGATTTTATGTGGCAAGTGAATCGCTTCTTAGTTTGCATGATCCTTCACCTTCTGTCTTTTAGGATGGAGAGTCAGGATGGAGCAGCTTGCACAGGGCTCTTCATTTTGGTCATCTTGCTATGGCAAGCATTCTTCTCCAATCTGGTGCTTCTCTTACGCTTGAAGACTCTAAATGTCGATATCCTGTTGATCTACTTTCTGGACCTGTGTTTCAGGCTGTTGAGAATGGACGTGATTCAGGTAAACCTGTCTGGAATAGCAACAGTTTCTATTTTTTATGCTTATATAGTTATTGATCTTTCAAAAAAAAGTAATTGATCTTTCTAGTGGGCATAGATTGGTCCTAGTGATATCTTTGATGAATTCCTTTGTTATTTTAGTTGTTACAGAGGTCTTCAGCTGGGGAAGTGGTGCCAACTATCAACTTGGAACTGGAAATGCACATATACAAAAATTGCCATGCAAAGTTGATTCACTTCATGGAACTTATATTAAGTTGATTTCTGCTGCTAAGTTTCATAGTGTAGCAATTGGTGCTCGTGGAGAAGTGTACACCTGGGGATTTGGAAGGGGTGGTCGCCTTGGACAACCTGATTTTGATATTCACAGGTAATTTGGATCTACAAAATCCTCCTGGGACAAATTAGCACTCAAGAACAAAGTCTTTGCTTCTCTCTTGTGCTTGTTGTGCACATGTACCTTGTGTTTCTTGTAATTGTTGTGAAATGCTATCTATTAATCTCTTTATATTTTTCCTTGGATGAATTATGCCTTTTTATTGATAAATACATATTATAACTTTAACTTCTAAAAAAAATACATATTATTAACTTTATTCTCATAACTAGTTAAAAAAATTCTTTATTGACATAATGGCAAAGTTGAACAGAAAACTACATTCACACTTGCAGCATGTCAATGTGTCAAACAAAAAGTAAAGCTTGATCACCGTAACTATCCATTTATAGCTTTACTTATCTTTTGGTATTCTGGAATTTAACTTCCTACGTTATTGATTTCTATGAAGGACAGAAATAACTCCTCTATTTACTTGGACCCCGATGGATTATTTTCTCCTATTTTTTCTTAAACAATAGATAACAAGATTGTTTTTAATCAAAGAAGAGGATAGATAGAAAATAGACATAGAAAATGACTTTATCCCAGGGTGCAGAGAGTTTCCCACAACATACATATTTATCTTTTATTTTAAGAAGAAATCTCCACTTCTTATTTTGGCCCAATCACCAAAATTTGGATGCATCTTAGCTCCCTAGCATGTTTTTTACCCTAAATGTCTTAGTGTCCATCACATATAGATTCTTGTGTAAGAATGCTACAAGGTATTTGGATCAAGTCTTAAGCAATGTTTAAAATGTTGGTGTCGTGGAAATGTCAATCATCCAAATTTAGGAAACATGTTGGAAATGTCGGATGGAAATATTGTAAAAATTATAGACATGGTGGAAAGTGAAAACGTTTTTTTTTTGATAAGCAACACTTTCATTGATTAGAGATTAGAGAGATTACAACAATCTGGAAACAGAAATTACAGTTCGTCCAAAAACAATTGGTCTCTATGCACAGCCTGTTTTGCCATGCAGTTTGCAACTTCATTTGCTGATCTTCTAACCCATTTAGGGTAGCTTCCACATCTTTGGCTAAGGACTGTATTTGCCTTAATGTCTGTCTTAAGCCCAAGCTCCTGGAATACTGCTTTTCAACCAAGAAATGACAATCTTAGCATCTCCTTCTACATCCAGCAGTTTGATTCCAAGAATTTTTGCTAATTCCAAACGTTGCAAAAGTGTCATAAGTTAAGCTGTGACAACCATTTGCTCCAATGGAACTTGAAAACAAAACTTTGATATTGTCCATTGAACTCTAAACTCCTCCAATTCCTGCTGGTCCAGAGTTGCCTAAGAAACTGCCTTCAAAATTCAACTTCAATCTTGGACTTAAGGGTGCTTTCCATTCCATCATAATCTTGTCCTTCATCTTTGAAGAGATAACAACTGCTCCCCAAGCTCTCAAGATGTCATTCAGATGGACTTCTTTGAACTCTTCCAGGGTTTTTACCCAACTAGCAACCTTTAGTTTTATAATGCCTACTAATTTACCCACTGACTCTCGTTTTTCCTTGAAGATTCTATCATTTCTCTCTTCCCACACTGCCCATAGAAGTGTTGCCCTTGCTGCCCTCCATAAAATTCTTCCTCTTATTTTAGGCTGTCTTAGAAAATTTGGACTAAATAACCCTTCCACCTCTTCAGGAGCCTCCCACCTGCAACTAACAAAAGAGTATACTTCCATCCAAACACAATTCACAAGTTTACAGGAGATTTATAAATGGGGTGCAGATTTACCGCTTTCCTTGCATAGAAAACACATATGAGGGGAAAGACATAAAAGGCCTTCACCTTCTTTTTTACAGTGTATCACAGGTGTTGATCTTGCCCAGAGCCACTTCTCAACAGAAGGCCTGAATTCTAGGAAGGACAGTTTGGCACCAAACTTCTTTCACAGGGAAAACCCTCCCCAATCCAACTGATCGAGAAGAGAGCTGAAGAAAGAACAGGAAAATAAGCCCAAGGGTGAAGGTGGCCAAACTTTGCTATCAACAACTTGTCCATCCAGGAAGACAGACTTGAGTTTGGACAAGAGGATAATTAGAGAGCTGCGTTCATTTTCTCTAAGACTCCTTCTAAAGCCGAAGTCCCAATCCAACCCAAGCGGAGAGGCAGACCAGAATTTAGAGATAGGTTCTAGCTTAGAATTTGAGGGATATGGCAAAGGGAAGATCTTTGGTTGGGGAATGCTATCTTCCAAAAAAAAGGAATTGTTCATTGAGGGTAGCATTCCCCAACCAAAAATCTCCCCAAAAAAGAACCTTGTTCCCACATCCCACATTGTACTTGATAAAGTTTAGAAAAGAGGTTTGAATTTCATGAGTAGCTTTCCAAGGAGAGAGTACTGAAGAGTTAGGACCAGTTATCTTCCATGTTAAGGTGCTAACTTTTAATGTTTTGTAGTGGTCAAGCTGCAGTTATCACTCCCCGGAAGGTGACTTGTGGTTTGGGATCTCGGCGAGTTAAGGCAATTGCAGCTGCTAAGCATCACACTGTTGTTGCAACTGAGGGTGGTGAAGTGTTCACTTGGGGGTCCAATAGAGGTAAACTGTTGGGGCATTTCTCATGTCTATGGATGTAAAGTTGTAAACCTGGTAATGGGGGGATACTTGAATTCCTTGTCAACATTTTTGTAGCTTGCCTGTTAAGAGGTGGGGTGGGGTGAAGAGACTTGGTTCTACCTACTTGATTCCTGTATTTGAAAAGAGAAAATATTTTCTGCTAATATGTTATGCATATATATCTAATTGGAAAATAATGGATTTACCACTGATAAAATTATGCAGAGGGTCAACTTGGTTATACCTCTGTGGATAGCCAACCGACACCAAGGCGTGTTAGTTCCCTTAAGACAAAGGTAATTGCTGTTGCTGCTGCCAATAAGCACACAGCAGTGGTTTCTGACTCAGGTGAAATATTCACATGGGGATGCAACAAGGATGGCCAACTTGGTTATGGTACCTCCAATTCAGCTTCAAATTACACTCCAAGAGTGGTTGAATACCTGAAAGGAAAGGTCTTCTCAGGAGTCTCAGCAGCAAAGTATCATACAATAGTATTAGGGTCTGATGGGGAGGTAATGTTCCATATAACTATTAGTCTGATTAATATTTATGGCCCCATTTCAATGTTTTCTTTCTCTTTTGTAAATACCATATGTCAATGTTGTTCAATCTTATGTTGTTTCATTTTTTTTATGGTTGTTATACCATTGTACTTGAAACTGAGTCTGATCTTAGGTCAATCATTTCAAGTTTAAAATCGTAGGCAAAATCGAAATAATTGACAGTTTTCAATACTTAAAATCGAGGCTATCAGGTCATACCTATGGCTGTGGGTACTCAAATCTATTGATTACTTGATTTCATTTTCTGATTCATAAAGAAAATTAATGTTTTCAAGTTTAAAATCTTAGGCAATTCCCCAGCAATTGACACACTTTTCAATACTTCATCAAGGATTTCAGTTCTATTCTTCTGGCTTTGGACCCTCGAATCTGTTGAGTGCTTGATTTCACTTTCTATTTTGTACAGAAAATTATTATCCTTATATTGTTCCATGTCTAACTTTGAATATATTTTTTTTTTTAGTCTGCTTCTAGCGGAAACATTTCATCCAGCTGATTACTGCACTGATTGTATAGTTTAATTCCGAATTTATTGGTACATGCTAATATTTGTAATGCTTTTGCATTTTGGTCCATTGGGTCATTATGGCTTGCAGGTATTCACTTGGGGTCACCGGCTTGTAACCCCAAGGCGTGTAGTCATTGCTAGAAATACAAAAAAAAGTGGGTCTGCACTGCTCAAGTTTCATCGCATGGAACGACTTCATGTGATTGCAGTAGCTGCAGGAATGACACATAGCATGGCACTAACTGATGATGGTGCACTATTTTATTGGATTTCCTCTGATCCTGATCTGAGATGCCAGCAGGTTTGATTTGATCTATTGTGTGGATCTTATTCTTTTCTTGTCACCTCCCATTTGTTTCTGACCATATGCCATGCTTGGGTATTACATATAGCTGTGTTCTATGTGTGGAAGAAGTTTGGTAAGTATTTCTGCAGGGAAGTACTGGACTGCTGCAGTTACATCTACAGGTGATGTTTATATGTGGGATGGGAAGAAATGTAAGGGTGAGCTTCCTCTTCCAACTCGGTTACATGGTGTTAAGCGGGCTACTTCAGTTGCAGTTGGCGAAACACATTTATTGACTATTTGTTCTTTTTACCATCCTTTTTATCCTCCTAATATGGAAGAGAACTCTCAGAAGCTGAAATTAGATGCTGACTATGAATTAGAAGAGATAGATGAAGACTTAAATGAAATGCAAATGAAGGCAATATCGTCTGCTGTAAAACACAATGATGTGGCTAACAGACATCCACCAAGTTTAAGGAGTCTCTGTGAAAAAGTTGTCGCACTGTCTCTGGCTGAACCAAGGAATGCCTTACAACTACTTGAAATTGCAGATTCTCTAGGAGCAGATGATCTGAAGAAGCATTGTGAGGTAAGTATCGATATTCTTATGAATGATGGTGGTGATCCGAGTACTTGTACTCAACCACTTGATTTTCTTGCTTTCTTTCAAGAGGTGGGAAAATGGGTGCTGATATGCTTGAATCATATAAGAAGTTTCCTTTGTTAATGGGCACTGACAAGTCTCGCAACATGTGTTATGAGAATGCCTTTGATCAGGGCTTTTCATTTTCTTCTTTACAGGACCGTATCCCTAATGAATCTTATGCATTAAATGTTTTATATTTCAGACTGTTCTGCAAGGAAATTTAAAGTAATGCGTTTCTGTTCCAAAATACTACTGGAATCCAGTACAGAGAAGTCATTTAACATGCAATATATGAATGATAATCTCTTAATCAGACAAGTAGCTCAATCATACCTGTACTTGTATTTTGAAGCAAAAGTGATACATATGATTGGACATTCTTTCCAATTAAATAAAATTTTCGTGAATATTCAATGAACTTCTGAACTTCTAATAGGTTAAATAATTACCATCATCTGATTTATACCCTCTTTGAACCATCTGCTATATTTTGTTCACAAACCTATGGAAAAACAATAGATTACATAAAATTTTCTGGTTGGCTCAATTTTTTTTTCTTTGTTCTACTGGGTGCCCAAAATGAAACAGTGGCTCCTACTCTCATATGTAGGGGTGTCAATTGGACTGGATTTGGTCCCATCCCATCCAGTCCAATGTGAGTCCATTATAAATGGACCAGGTCCAATCCAATCCAATGAATATTTTGGACCATTTTGGACTGGACCGTCCATTGTGTTCAAATTCGTTTTAATTTAGATTTGTTTCAACCCAAACCCCGTCCATTGACACCTATATTCTATCTTATATCAATGGACCAGATATTGGCTTAATCCAACCCAATCTAATAAATATTGTGAACCGGATTGGTCCAATCCAGTAGATCTTGTTGGTCCGTCCAATCCGTCCAAATTGATTTTGGACTGGATGGGGTCCAATCCAAAACCGGTCCATTGACACCCTTACTCATATGCTCCTCCATGTACACACATGTAGAGGCAGGGAAGATCGGTGTTCCATCTTCCATCCTGACAAGTGTGCCTCATTTATTTTCCAATTTGCATGCTTTCATATAATGGAATCAGGTTACTTATCTCAAGTATCTGATTGTACTTTTGAAAACTTGTGTGGCCATGCAGGATATGGTTATTCGCAATCTTGATTATATTTTCACAGTTGCTGCACAGACCATTGCAAGCACATCACTAGATGTTCTTGCTAATCTTGAGAAAATATTGGATTCAAGGTCCTCTGAGCCATGGAGTCACCGTAGGCTCCCAATTGCAACAGCTACTTTTCCTGTCATTGTTAACAGTGAAGAGGAGGATAATGAGAGCGAATGCCTTAAGATTCGTGACAATCCTGCAAAATCTGTCTTGAGGGTTAATTTTCCCCAGCCCTCCGACTGCTTTTTGGAGTCTGATAATGGTGCCAACCAAGCTATTTTGAAACAAATTCGAGCTCTGCGGAAAAAGTTGCAGCAGATTGAGGTACTTGAGGCTAAGAGATCAAATGGCCATCCCCTTGATGCCCAACAAATTGCAAAACTCGAGATGAGGCCAACTCTTGAAAGCTTGCTTTCTGAGCTTGGTGTTCCAGTGAAGACACAAGAGAAAGAATCATCTCCAGTTGTTCTAGAAGGAAAAGGTAGTAACAAGGTTGAGGTATCAAGAAAGCAAAGGAGAAAGAGTAAGAAGGTGACACAGGTAGAAGCAGCTGTTGGACATTGTGAGGCTGTCTTAGAACCAGACCCTGTAAAGGGCTTTGTGGATGTTGAGGTCTCTCAAATTCTAAAACAAAAGGTCAGTTTTTCAAGCTTCATATGCACCTTTTGTTCATCTATTCTTGTTGGGTTCCACACATATGATTTGAATCAAACTGTCTAACTGAGTAACAACAGTTATCATATATAAACCGAATAATGGGAACATGGTGCACAGTTCTGTCAGATTGACAAAACCAAGGGGTTGTACTGGTAACCTGGTGACCAAATGACATTTATTGGGCTCAGTTAATTGATGATTTTTATGGTCTGCGTGAGTTAAACCTGATCCAGTCAGTATTCTGGTTTTCTGTCTGGTCCGAGTCTGACAACACTGATGGTGCACATGGAAGAATTCGAGATCTGATATTCAAATGGATCCCAACTGGGTGTTCCCATATACTGAAATCAGTTTTAACAACTTAATTGATCCCATTTCTTTTGAAAAAATCAATGGAACAAAAAGAGATAATCCAGAAAAGTGTTCATATGTTGGCTTTACTATTGTTTGATATGCCACCTTGGTAAGATTTTCCTGATGCAAACCCAAAATCCCCTCAAATGTGGGCACAGATTGAAAATGGCACTCCATCTGCTCATATTGAAAGTATAGTTTCTATTATCTATATCCAGAAATGGCACTTAATTTTTCTGCATTATGACTTATCATAGGTGGAATATATGGAAATTGAAGGATCTGGGAGCTGCCAGATAGCTGATTCTCCTCCCTGCATACTGAAGCAAGAAATTCCTGAATCTGGGAAGAACAAGAACTCCTTTGCAACTTTGACCAAAAAGAAGAACAGGAAAGGAGGCCTTTCAATGTTCTTGAGTGGTGCTCTTGATAATGTTCCCAATCATGTTTGTCTCTCATCGCTAACACCCAAAAGTGAGGGCCCTGCATGGGGTGGGGCAAAGGTTTTGAAAGGACCTGCTCTCCGTGAGATCCAGAATGAGCAGAGCAACACAAAAGAGAGTCAGCCAAGTAGGAAGGTGATGGATGAATTTGAGGATCCTTGTGAAGGAAGAAGTGGGCAAATCCGATTGAGTTCATTTCTTCCAGTGAAGACAAGATCCATCCCAATAACTGTCGCATCAACTCATGCATCTCCAGTTTCTGATGGAGAGAAAAGTACACCTCCTTGGGCTACTTCTGGGACTTCTCCCATCTTTACTCAGACATCATTTCGTGACATCCAAATGCAGCAGGTATATATTTTATATATTTGTATTCAGAACATTAAACATTTATACTGTGTTTTCAATCTCTCATTCACTGGCAGAACAAGGATCTGGGCCATCTAGCCCTCTTGGCAGATCAGTTTTCCCTACTGACCCAACAAACTTCCAAATGAAATTCTTCTCTGAACCAGTCTGGTTTAATTGGAAGTCTTTCTGCTGTAGATATCTTTTTATTACATCAAGTCAAAAAGGGAAAAAAAAAGAGCTAACTTGGAAAGAAAGTTGCTTCAGGGAGAAAACGGATAAAATACATTTCTTAAGCATGAAATCAATAACTCTGTTTTTATGCTGTTTGAAACCGTTTAAGCTTCCTGATTGCCGATTGCTGTAGGGGATGCCAAGACTGGACCTGAACACAGAACCTTAGCCTAGGCCCATAAATTTGTGGGCCAGATGATTTGGCCTTCCAGGCTTGGGCTAAGAATGATCACCTCTATCATAAACCCCATGGTCCTCTCCATTTTCTGAACATATCCCAATGTTCTCAACCAGAAAATAATTTTTGCTAATGCAAGCATTAGATCACGAGTGATCCAGTGTAAATCTCACACACTAGATGATTATGTGTATCTTCTCTACTAATGGTATTAGTTAGTGCTTTTCTTTGGTTTAGTAAATACCCATATGACAAGGTTTTTTTTGGCCAAAATCCTACATAAGTAGCACCATGTGGTAAGTTAACTGCTCCACAGGCAAACTCATTTAAGCATGTCTGCTTGATCAAAGATGAATTATTTTGATAGGGATTTATACATCCACATGACTCACACAATAATTGTGTGTGTATATTTTATTTTTAAAAGGGAAACCATGCATAGAACACACTCTTTTGAGTTGCATGGTTAAAAAAACTAAAGAAAAAAAAAACTACAGAACACCATTGAATGGGTTTCACTTAAAAAAGAAATCAGTTTCTCCCTTCCATTTCACTAGTATAATCATACTTTACCTTTTCTCAAAGAGAGAGAGAGAGAGAGAGAACTGTTTGAAAAGATACCAGAACACCATCTTTCTGGTATCATGGTCTATTTTCTTGACATTGTACTACACAAGTCCATCTGTTGTATGCAGCACATTGATGCTAATTTCTTCTGGGTTTTCTCAACAGGAGAAACATCATGGCCTTTCTCATAGCCCAAAGAAAAGAACTGCTGGGTTCTCAGTTTCATCTGGCCTGGGCTCTCCATCAGATTCTGCTAACACTAACCGCTGGTTCAAGCCAGATATTGACTCTCCTCCGTCAATCCGTTCAATTCAGATAGAGGAAATGGCTATGAAGGATCTAAAACGCTTCTACAGCAGTGTTAAGCTTGTTAAAAACCAAGGGTAGGTCTTTTGACGTCTTCTGAGGGCAAATTTAGCTTCCTTTCTTATTCTCCCCTTAACCCTTTGTAAATTTGGTTGTACAGATAATCTCACCCTACATTCAGTTTTGTTACACATGCAGGAATAGTTATAGACTTATAGGTCAACTGTAGTCCTTTGACTCTCCTCCCATGTGGCTGCACTAAATTTGATTTAGAAAAATTTCTTTATTCTCTCTTTTCTTCTACAAATAAGCCAATACTTCGTCATTTGGTTGATCTTATCTGGGTCCCATACTACATTTGTGATAAGGATGATCATGGAGATAGTTGTGTGCTTGTTCTCTGGACCAGGGGATGCAAGTAGGTGATGCTTGTGAGGTCTGGGCCAAGACAGGCAAGTAGGTCATGCTCAGGTGAATTGGCTGGATTCAGGCGTAGAAGATCATCCTTCATTGGCCTGCTCCAATAACATTTTCAGATTCTACTCAAATATTGGGCATATCGCATCCGTATCAAAGGGTCCGATTCACTATAGAAGGCCACCTTGGGGCTTTTGAACCTTTGAGATGATAGAAAGGATCCTCATTGTTCCATTTGAGTAATTTTGATCCTTGGGGGCTTTCGTTTTTGGGATTTTGAGAGGGGGGAAAGTTGATCAAATGGAATTAGGAATCCCATTGACCAAGAAATCCATGTTTTTTTTCTAATTCATATGGGAACCAAGGAAAGTTTATTTTCTTGGGAATCACTTACCTGGGTAAATGATACCCAACTCCCGGGTGGGTAAATTAACTTTCCTATTTTGAGAAAGTTGCCAACATTTGGATAAAACAAAAATGTCTTTTGATAATGGGAGTTTTATGACTAAAATGGTCATTAACTTATATACTTGGAAAATAAAAGAACATGGGTAAATAGTAAATGCACTTATTCGAGTAAGTGTATTTATTTGGGTAAATAACTTAACCAAAAAGCAACGTTTTAAAAAACAACCCGGAAATGGAACCGTTCTGGTCACTGATTTTTGGGTCGACAGTCCGACCGTCTGGTTTGAATGGACGGCCTGGCCTGACAAACAAATTAAAAAAATAAAAAAAATGGTCAAAATCGTTGAACGGGTTGGCAGTTCGACCACTTGGGTCAATGGATTGTTGACTTTTTCAATAGTTTTTGGCCAAAGACTGGATTGGGGTAAAATAGAACCAGTTGCTTGGACATTCCTGCGCCGAATGGTCCAACCATCCGGGTCAATGGCAGTTCGAAAACCTTGCTGGGGCCTTGATTCTATATTTCAAATGTTACAAAATGGCCTGCTTTTTGTGGCAATCAGACTTCTGACAGTTGGGTTGCTTAAGGTGTCCTATTCAGGTTTAAATCAAACCAATGGGTGATTCAATGGACCTTTGGGGCAAATTTAGGTTGTGTTTTGTGTTTTGTTTTTTGATCCACAAGCATAGCGCAAGAAACAGAACAAAGAAACACCAACCGAAGAAAACAACTAAACAAGAACTAAAAGGGAGGAGATAAATTTTGAAGCCAGGGAGCCTGCAACCAACACATGTCAGAGCTGGAGTCGCCCCTCCTAGCAAGCTCAAGATCCACACAGTTTCCTGACCTGCCAACGAAAATGAAACTGAACCTTTCATCCACAAGAGAAAGAATATCGCTCAACAAAGGCCAAAATATAGGGTCAGTCTCAAAAGATTTATCCACAATAGCTTTCATTGCGTTTTTTGCATCACTTTCTATAACAATCTTCGAAAAGCCCAAATCCTTAGCCAAAAAACAGCTCTCCCTAAATACACACATATGTGTATGTAGCTTGAGCCCAACTTAGGCCTGGCTCAACCCAACTTGCCAGAGCAAATACATGCATACGTGTATTGAGTTTATGTATAAATATCTTTTCAATGTATATATATACATTTGTAAATGAGAATCTATACATGTTCTCAATGAATTCTACCCTTAATGTGGGTCATAATATAAACCCAATCAATCCTCCCAAGCCCAATTAACCCAATTCAGCTTGAGCCCAATTCGAGTTGTGTTGGGTTAAGCTCGGGTTGGGCCTAGGTTGATAAATTTGGGGTTATCCTTGGATTGGCCCAGGGTTGAACCTAAGGGTTGCACCTTTAGGATTGGACCTAGGTTGACCTACAAGCCTACCCAACCCACCTGAGTTGCACCCCTAGTGCTTTATTTGGTTACAGGTTAATCAATTTGTTGAATAAAGTAATTAAGTTCATAATAAATTAACATTAACAAAATTATTAGATTAGTAAAGGTTATTTTGGTTAATTAATAAATTTAGTTTAATGAAATTTTGTTTTTAATAATTTAATTATGTCATAATATAAATTTGTGATAATTTAGTTAGCTAATCATTAGATAATAATTTAGTTACTTTAAGTTAATTATGGGATAACTATGTAACTTTATTTTTTAAATCAATTAAATAATCATGTTAATTTAAGTTTTTTTCCTTTTTTTGAGCCTCTTTAAATTGTTTTTCGCTAAAATATAATAATTTAATTTAAGATAATAAATTAACTTGACATATTGCACATATATTAAAGACAAATTGTAAAGATCAATTCCATAGCATAATTAGTTAGAATATAAGGGAAGTATGCATTGTTAGTTATTGAGGAGAGAGAGAGAGAGAGAGAGATGCCTATATTCAAGGGATTTTAAAAGAGGAGATATTTTATGAGAAAGTGGAGCCCTTTTTTTAGCAAACCAATGAATGTGACATAAAAGATGAGATATTTTAGGAGAGAGATTTTAGGAATATGAGAAGCGTGGTAAGATAGATGTGAAAGGGAGAGAGTTTTTAGGAATACTTTTAGGTAATTGGAATGGGAATATAGAGGGATGGTGACTTGAGAGATTGGGTGTGGTGGGAATGGGAAGGGAGATAGAATTAAGGAGAAATGAAGGAAGAGGGCTTTGGAGAAAGGAAAGACCATGTGAAGTGAACAACCTTGCTTTATACATACTAAAACAAGGAACTCCTTTTCCCTTATTGTCCAAATCTTAAGAATCTAAATATTAAAAATCTTCATAAAATCTCTCCTTCTCTCTCTTTCCATGTTCCAAATCACCTAAATTATCTCATCTACTAAAATTCCTCCTTATCTATCCATCCCACCTAAAACTTTCTTTTAAAACATTTCTTAATATATCACACATGCCAAATAAACCATCTAATGCTAACCTCTCTTTCCCTCCCCCCTCTCTATGTCTATCTATTTATATCTCTTTCTCTTCCCACCTTTTAAATACATGCATTTAATTTTTCATCAATCTATTAAAATATCAATGTTTAAGTTAAAAATTTTTTTAGCACTGCTTAAGTTAAAACTTAACAACATAATAAAACAAATAATAAAAATAAAGTAATAAAATTTAATAATTAATTAAAAATATTATCATAATTTAATATTGGCATTATAAAATTTAATTATTAACTATAAGAATTTTATAATTATGAAGTAATAAAATTCAATTTCCATTTAAAATGATTAGCATAATAGAAAATTCAAAATAAATTATTTTATTATTTACAACAATATTATACTTAACTTATAATAACAAATTCTAACCCCTTGGGCTTTATGGGCTTTTAAGCCTTTGGTGTACTTTGATCTCTACAAAAAAAAAAAAAAAAAAAACCTCCCCTAACATCTTTCGAATTATCAACTAATAAATTTAATCAGCTTTATGATTTTCCTATGCATTGTACTGGCTAATGAGTTTTACTAGCTACACATAGGATGTATTACATATGTGAAACTAAAAGACCGAATGTAGGATTTGGAAAGAACTTTGGCATTTAGCTGGAGAATAGATTGCCTTTATTGTCGTTGTGAACTTGCTTGGATAGCTAATTCTCGTGAATATATGAATCTAACTTGTTATGTTGGATGTAGGAATGGCAACGGGGCGTGGAACCCCCTCCCCGTCCCCACCCCTAAGTCACGATACCTTGCCCCGTACCCGCCCCATCCCCGGTGGCGGGGTGGGTTCGGTGCGGGGCATCCATTCTCCATGTGGGACGAGGAATCCCTGAATTTTTCCCGCTTCAAGGTAATTACTTAAAACTTATCTATTTTATGAATAATTTATACATAGGATATAGGAATTTGGGGGTATTTTAGAATTGAATTATAATATTTTAGGGGTAATTCAAAAATAAAATTATGGGATCCTAGAATTTTAAAAATTTAGGGAAAATTTAGAGATATTTTAAATATCAATATTAAACCTAGAGATATTTTACTAATTTACCTTCGGGTTTGGGGTGGGTTCGGGGAATTATATACAAAACCTGTCCCTGCCCCGTTCCCGATTCAGGGAAAAATTATTTTCCCCGTCCCTGCCCCGTCATTGTTTAGGATCGGGGAAAACCCACCCCGTTCGGGGCAGGGCCTCGATTTTACAGGGGAAATTGCCATCCCTAGTTGGATGTGTCCAAAATGCTCAAGATTCCTTGAATCAAAACAGTTTCGCCTTAAAACAACAATATCTTGAATACAATGAGGCTTCAGATAGGGCTATGACCAAGTTATTACTTTAGAGCAAGGTTCAAACCATCGGTAGCCTGTATTGCGCCGATTGCTTCCTGATACGCCCCTACAGGGGTTGTCTCAGGTCAGATCATGGTTCAAAGGGGAGTCGGAACTTAAACTGACCCCTCTGAACCAGTTTTAAAAAAAATAAAAATAAAACATAAAAAAAGCATTGATACAGGCTAATACTTTGAACCTTGCTTTAGAGTTTAGGTCGATCATTTAGTGTTCTATTAAGCTTACAAGCATGATGACCTACATTATCTGAGAAAGGAGAATTCACAGATCTTAAGTGTTGATCTAGAGGAAGTGTCGCATGGATTCTCTTAAAATGGATGACATGTTGTGTTGGGCAAGTGTTTGAGCTTGATACTCCGTAGATTCTTGAAGGCACTTCTAAATAATATTTTATTTTTATTTCTTAGCTTATTTGACATAAATGAACAACCAATTTACAAAATGAATCCAATTTTTTTTTGTATAAAAAATCGAAAAAAGGCAACATGTTTTATAAGTATATGTATAATGTTGGAATTCGAAAAAAAAAAGAATTATCTTAATAGTATACACTTTTTCCTAAATATGAGGGTGGGCCTTGGTGCAATGGTGGGGTGGCTCCATAATGACTTGGGTGACTAGGGTTTAAAACTTAGAAAAAACCTTTTG